CCTCTAGCTCCAGCCTCAGCGCCGGCTTTCCAGTCCTTCTGGATCGTGTCTTTTGCTGCACCGAGCAAGCGCCTCCACAGAGGTAATTCAGGGGTGGAGGCAGATATACAGGTGGTCAGATGGTGATGGTGCTGCCGGTGGCGGCTTGTGCTCAGCTCTAACTGCAGAGGACACTTGTGCCTCCAGAAAAGCCAGGAGAAAACCTTGGCAAACGGGAGACCCCCCTTGTGACCTCCTGGCCTTCCTGCACCTCTCCTCCAGGTTCCACTCCTGAGACCTGTGCTGGCACCCTCGACGTCTCTCATGCCAGCTGGCTAGGGACTGCCCCCACCCCTTGCTGCCCTCAGTCTGTCCGGCTGGCCCGAGCAGGCTGGGACGGGCTCCCTGCCGGGGACACTCCTGCCTGCCACCGCTGACAAGTGCGGACTTTTCCTCCCCCTTGCCAGGCCTTCCTGAACAGGCTGCCTGTGTTCGGGGCTGGGAGGGGCTGGGGGAGGCACTGTGACGCCTCTCATCCTGGCCAGCGTGGATGCCTTCAGGCAGGCGGTGGGATGGAGACTGGATGGTGGAATTGGTGGCTAGGACAGGGTGGATCTTCAGCAGCGGCCTGTACCTGGGCTAGGGGACCAAGGCCTGGAAGCACGGTATGGCCTAACCTAGCCAGCCTGTCAGCAGAATAGGATCCTACCAGGTCTCCCCTCGGCGCGAGGCTGGTCCCAGAGTTGGGGGTCTCAAGGGTTTGGAGGTTTCCAGTTCTCTGAGAATCTGAGCAAAACTTTGCACCCTCTCCCAGTCACACTATATTTTGCAGAAAATTCAAGGGGTCTGCAAAAACTCCCACCACAACGTTCCTTTTTCCCGGGGACTCTCTCTCTCTCTGGCCTTCCTGATGTGGTGGCCGGACCAGGGAGTGTCCCCAGAAGGCCCACGACAGGAATCTGGGGGAGGCCGCTTGATGCCTCATTAAAACATTCCGAAGAAAACCCAAGTTCCCGAGGGCTTGGCCCCCTCCCCCTGCTCTGTCCACAGGCAGTCCCCAGAGTTGGCGGCGGAGGGGGGAGAGTTTAAAGGGCAGGTGATATAAAAAGCTTCAACAAATCAATACGAAAAAGACAAATAACCCAGTAGAAAGATGGGTAATGGCTCTGAGCAAGCTCTTAGAAGATGGACCGTAAACCAGCGTCAAGTTCAAAAGCTCCCTGGTAATTGGCAAATTAAAATGACACGAGACACCACTTTCCACCTATCAGAATGGCCAAGGTGATGAAAAGAGCCCTCACACTACCATATGTGACAGAGTGGGGGAGACCCGCCTGCCCACTCCTGGGGCTGGGACTAACAACCCGCAGTGGCTTTCTAGAGCGCAGTTTGGCCACGTCTACGAAAATGACAAATGTGTATGTTCTCAGACCCAGCAGTGACAGAACCTTGAAATACCCCACTGCGAAATGGTCACACAGGGACGCAAGAGGGCATTTCAAGGAGCTTCCCTCCCACCGTCTGGACCCTCTCTCTCTCTCTCTCTCTCTCTCTCTCTCACACACACACACACACACACACGAAAAGTAGGAGGAAACTATGTACATGTGCATTCCTGGGAACTGCTGCCCGAATCCCAGGTTTGGGAATACTATGCGGCATTAAAAAAAGGAGGTTTACATTTACTGACTCGAAGGTCTCCAAGGTGCACCTGTAAGTAGAAAAATGCATGTGGCTGAGCCCTATCTACAAACTGATAACCTTTATTTAAAAACAAACAGAAAACAGTAGAACAAAACTATCTGCTTGGTAGGTACAAAAAAGCACCTTTGAAAACTCACAGAAAAAGGTCCGGAGTAAACAAGGATAAAGTTTGTTTAACCTGTATTATCAGACTCTTTTATAAAAAAGAACATTTTCAAGTGTTAGTTATGAAGTTAAAACTAAGAAAATGAACGTAAAAAACCCAGGATTTTATTTTTTAAAAAAGGAAAGGAAGAAAAAGAAAGCCCAGAGTGGACCTGGGGCTCTCCTACCAGCACATGTCCTCACCCTGCTTTGGAGGAAGCAGCTCAGTGCCGGACGGAGCCTGAAGACCTTGGTTCAAATCCCACCTCTGCGGAAGACCCACTGTGGGCACCTCAAGGTCCTTGCCCATAGAACGGGTGGGTGAATGGATGGTGTGAGAAGACACTGGTATCGGTTTCTAGCTCAGAATCTGGGGACAGCCTGGTTCCCTCTTGTGTCTAAAAGTGAGCCCTGTGGCAGAGCTGCCACTGGAGCAGGCTAGGAGGGGTCCCCTGCACCACCCCCCCACAGTTCCTCCTGAGTCTGACGCTGAGGTGACATCTCTACACTTAAAGCCAGTCCCTTACAATGACCTTTAGCCTCTCCTCCTGCAGTTTCTCCTTCTCTTGTCCCTAGGATGAGGCATCCCCAAGGATAAGACCACCCCTTGGCCCCCTACTGACAATCTGCAGGCCCATCCCTCCCTTCAAACTTCACTCCACCTGACCCCCCACCTCGCAGTCACTCTTCCCTGTAAGGTACAAAATGGACCAGCTGGGTCTGGCCACAGCCAAGTGTGCTCCCAGTGGGGCGCTTTTTAGTCTCCCAGCAATGAGATCCTTGGAGACGTGAGCCTGGTCCTGGGGGCTGGCTGGGCAGGCAGCACCCAGGTTTGGTGACAGAGGCTATTAGCTGAGCAGGTGGGCTTGGTGGGCACAAGCGCAGATCTGGGTGGGAGAGGCAGTGCCTGGATTCAGGAGAGGGAGCTGGCAGGCCTTCAGTCTCTTGCCGGCTCCTGCTGAGCCCAGAGGACCCAGAGGGTGTTGGGTGGCACTCGGACCATATCCTCTGGCCCTGAAGCCACAAAGGGTCCAGTGCATTCACAGCCTGAGAGTCCAGCTGCAGATGCCCCACAAGGTCCTGAAGCAGACTCAGCCCTGACATCTCCTCAGCCGTGGGCCAGAGCTAAGCCAGGCAAATTCTCTGCATGTGCCTCAGTTTCCCTAGAAACCAGTGTAGTGCCTTGGGGGACACATTATCCTCTACCTCATAGAGGCACAGTGTTTGGCACTTGGTTGGCATGCAATAAATAATGGTCATAATGGTTGCATGAGTCAGGTCAGTTAAAAAGTCAGGACAATATCAGAACCTTTCTCAGAGGCGGTTGGAAGGATAAGCTAGTTGCTGTTGTAAAGCGTTTAGGACAGTGTCTGGCAAGTAGATAGCGCTAAAGAGCATTTATTGAACAGAAGTAAGAAACTAACAAACCTGGGTGCAAATGTGTCCACCAATGCACACACACGCAAGCACAACTATGCTCCTCCAAGTCATGTGCGGACCCACAGCTTCGGACACACGTGTGCTCATACATGGACTCAAGAAACACACACAGACCCAGAGAACGCCATGCCGAGCCCCACAGAGCCCTGCTCTGACACACAGATATACTCACAAGACACCCGAGCCTATCACCCTGTCTATCCCTCCACAGTCATGTACACACATATGTGCACACGGACAGTGCTGGCTGGTTCTGCACAGTGGCTGTGCTCACACACCCTGGAGGGGTCCTGGGAAAGGTGCGCCTGGCCCAAGAGGGGGACGAGGAGATGGCTGTGGGCCCTGGCATTCACCGGGGTTCGCCTCTGAACCTCCGTTTCCCTGTCTACAAGTCCTCATGGGCATGTCTCTGACTTTGGGAAGCCAGAGTGGGGCATGGGCACTGATGAATGAGGCATGCTGAAGTCCGCAGCAGAGGAGAGCCTTGGAGCAGGATTCTTAGGCAAATGTTTCTTTCTTGCTGTCTTTTTACAGATGGGAAAACTGAGGTGTGAAGGACAGCCCAAGGTTACACAGGCACTGGGCAGAACTGGAGGAATCCAGAGGTACTGCCTTCCCCTTGGGGCTCTGCCTGGGTGGGGAGCCGGTCAGGAGGAGGCTGCTGCCTGCCTGTCTTTCTAGAAGGCAAATGCCCTCACCTGGGGTGCGGGGGCCGGGGGCAGCAGGGGCCTTGAAGTCAAACACACAGGCAGACGGCCTCCTCAGCAACGGGCTGGCCCCCTGGGACAGGGCTGGGGTGGGATCTGACTGACTTTCCTGGAAAAGGCCCCCGAACCCTGGCCCGGAATGAGGAGGGTGCCGCTCGTCCATGTCTCCAGCTCTCAGCCTCTGCCAGTGTCTCCCTGTTTTTCTTTGCTATTCTTGGTCTATCTATTCCTCCTGCTCTGGGGAGCAATCATCCCCACCCCCTTTTGTCTCTGTCTCTTCTCTCTTCTCATCTCCCATTCTGTCTTTTCTGCTCCCTCTGGTCCCCTCTTGGCCTCTGCTCTCAGAAGGGTACGGATGGGGTCCCCCATCTTCCCAGAGTGTTTCTCCTGTAGAAATGTTCTGTAAGGTTAGTCTCCTTTAGGGGACTCCATCCCTGCTCCATGCCACACCACACCCGCCTCCCCGGGCAAACAGCTTCCACTCTGGATAAAGCTAGGCATGAGTGCATGTGTGTGTGCATGCCCGGGATCCTGAGAGCTGGAGGGTCCCCTAAATCCTACCCCCTGCCTGGGCGATTCTGACCTCAGACCCAGAGGCCTGTGTCCTGGATTGCAAACAAAACTTGCAGAAAACGGAGGCCCCCAGAGCAAAGTCTGTGCACCACATCAGGGCCAAAGCCCAGTCTTCTGCCAGATCACGCTGTCATCTTTGAGGGAGACGCAACCAGAGCACTGGTGCTCACAGAAGAGGAAGATAGGGGATCCCCAACCACAGATTTCCAGACCTGGGACCCCAAACCCAGGCTTCAGAAACACGGAGAACTTAAGGAGGCATCTGGAACCCAGAACTCAGCCACCCCAGAGACAGCAGGGCACCGAGGATCCGGGGTCAGAGGGAACCCCCATCCATCTAAAGTTCACATGACTCGGAGAACCCACGACTCTGCGCCCTGGACACCCCTCCTCTCCCCAGGGACCCCAAGAGCAAGCCCGCAGCCTGTCCTGGAGTGCGGGCCAGGGACTTACCAGAGCGTATGCGGAGCTGAGCACCGGGCAGCAGAGCAGGAGCGCCAGGCCGGGCGCGATCCGGGCGGCCCCCATCACCACCGCCTAGGGCCCCGTCCCTCGGGGCAGCCGCCGCCGCCGGCCCTGGTGACGGTGGTGGGGTACAGAGCTGCGTCAGGCCGGGCTGCCCCGCCCACGCCCGGGCCTA